GCAAAACCTCCAACTGCCCCCAACCTATTGGGGGGGGCTTCCCCCCCAGGAGCAACATTTCAGGAGTTATTTGGGACTGCAGCAGGAAGGGGAGGTGGGGAAGTCTGTGGTATCCAAGCCCAGATTTCACTAATTCCTTCTTTTCTCTCTTTTATTTCTTCTCTTTTATTAGAAGATAATAGCAGACCTATCCCTCTTTTAGTTGCAAAATTGTATGCATCTGTGATAGATTTTCACAGCCATTCAAATGGAATCTAGCTTTTTCTAGGGTACATCTGCTTAGAACAAATGAGTTAAGAAGCAGTATGGGATAGATAAAATTATTTCAGGACACTTGCCGATGAATAGGATATTTATGTATTTATTCAATTCATTCAATTTATACCCCGCCCTCCCTGCCAAAGCAGGCTCAGGATAAAAAGACTGATGTTCTGGTGGAGAAACTGTTTAGAGGATGCAGCAAATAACTAAGCTCAGACCTGCATATTTCAAATTACTACAGCAGAACTATATAACATGAGGAGGATCTGGGTATAAGAAACAAATCCAACTCATCCAATTAAGTCATTGTTCATGGGCAGTGAGCCTTGTTTCCCTGCCTGCAAAAGCAATGCACAGTGCTTAAATGAATGTGGACATTGCATGTGGTTGCACACAGATAAAGCAACCGTTAAAAACATTTTCAGTAAAACTATAAGTTCTATAGCCGTTTTTGGAATCCAAAGTTCCTCTTTTTCCTTTCGTTTTGTATTAACAATTTAAGTGTTAATTAAACAGAAAATCTTCAGTCAAATCACCTCTATCAATCCAGCTCATAGGCCTTAAAGATTTAAACAGCACAAATGCTCATAGTTAAGGCATCCAAGATTTATATGGATTTCAAAAATAGTAGTAACTGTTCACTGTAAACAGGAAGAGTTTTGGAAAATTTGCAAACACTGCCTTTACCAACAGCATTGCTTCAAAAACAAACACAACCCTCAAACCAAAGACAGGATGGTTCTACCTACTACTGCTCTTCGGAACATTCTGTACAGATCAAATATGCATTCCTGAAAATGTAGCCGCTTCTGTCTACAACACAGTATTCAACCCTAATTTTTAGAACCAAAGACACACAATAGCTCTGTTGTTAGGAAAGGCAGAAACAAACAATGGCATCTGTATCTGGATCATAACTGTCAGGTATGTTAATATTACAGAGCCAAACAGCTTCTGAAGACCTCGATGCAATTAAAGCATGACTCAGGTATAGTTAATAAATTGCTCAAAAGGAATTGGGGTGAGGGGAGGTTCAAATGTCATATGAACAGATGAGTCCTTTCTTTTTTTATTTCTTTAAAGAGTATAAAGGAAAGCCTTTCTCTAGCAGTCTGTCCTGAAAAAAATCACATGAATATTCAAGGTGGGCAAAGGTTAAGCATTTCATTAACAACACAGAGAATCTAAGTATGTTCACTATGACTAAACATTGCAAACTATAGCTCTCAGTCTAGAAAAGTTCAGAGGAAAAAGTATGAATCACATTTCCTCACTTATTCTTTCACAAAGAAAGGATTCCTTCTAACAGGGGTTCCTGTGCCAGCCCTGAACTCCTGCCGGCCACAACTTCTGTCACTCAGAGATTGGGAGGAGGGAGAATTTTGTTTTTAAATTCCACAATCTCTCTTCATATTTGGGGATTATACCTGGTATGTAGGAATCCACCTTTGCGCTTGGCGCAAATGTACCATCAACAGAAATGCTCTGGATTGCGTTTTTATAAAAGGATTAGAACTGTAATATAATGAAACAGTCCAGGATGGTGCTTTTACAAGGGACTAGGATTGCAGTCTATTGCACGTTTATTGTATAAATCTTGCTTTTACTCTACCAACTCACTCTCTGCATCGGTTGTGGTAAGTCATGCCTTAGACAGTTTCCTGATTGTTTTGTTTTTCTACTTGTCTCTTCCTAGTCCTGTTTGCATTGTTCACTAGATGTCTTACGCTTTCTTACTGAATTGTTTGCTGTATTTTGCAATCCTTCTTGAGTCTCAGTGAGAAAGGTGAACAATGAATGAAGTAAATAAATTAATAAAAGTGATTGCATTTCAGCTGGAATGCTCTTTCAACACAGTAAACAGAAAGGAGTCTTCTGGCACATGAAATATGAACTGATTTACTGTGGCATAAAGATATGTGAAAGTAAATACTGGATGTGAATCCATTACAATGCTTGACAGTCTACCCAATTAGGACTCAATCACAATTATGGGCTCCTTTACGTTACAGATGTTATACTGGCTTGGCAAGTCTCATAAGAATGCATTAGCACTATTACTGTTGGTATAAATGGTCACCATAAGTTTATCTTCTATACATCTTAGCCTTGCATAAAAATGTTACAGGCATTTAATTGCATTTGGCCCTTATTATATAAAGGCATAGGGGAGGAGGGGGGATGTAAACTATGCGCAAGTACTGAGGATGCACTTCATGCACCAGATGAAGTAAAAAGCCAGCATGGTGGGCGTAGTGCTCTAGACTGCTAGACGAGGATCTGGGAGACCCCAGTTTGAATCCCCGTCCTGCCATGGAGGCTCACTTGGGCCAGTCAGTCCTCTCTCAGCCTAGCAGGATGGCTGTTGTGCGAATACATTGGAGAGGAGGAATGGTCTTGTAAGCCACATTGGACCCCTCTGGGGAGAAAAGCAAGGTATAAGTAGCCAAATAAGTAACCTACGGTTGGTAGATAACTTTCTGTTATGACACATGTCCCCTGGAACTGCTCACCTAAAATGTGTGTGTGCGTTTTGAGGGACGGGGGCATGACTAATTGCCTCAGATTTTGATTAAGATTTTTGACTTAATATTAATGAGAGCCTTGAACTTGCACTTGTTTTGGTTTGTATTTTTTTACTAACTACAGGATGTATTGCTATGATAGGATATATTGCTCTCGTGTTTTCAGACTTATTTCTGCAATCATTCCACGGACAATGGAAACCTGGGGTTCGAATCCCCACTCTGCCATAGACTCTCACCGGGTGACCTTGGGTCAGGCACTCTCTTTTAGCCTAACCTACCTCACAGGATTGTTGTGAGGATAAAATGAAGATGTGGAGTATGGTGTTGTAAGTCCCTTTGGGTCCCCTTTGGGGAGGAAAGTGGGGTATAAATGTAAATAAATAAATAAACTCTAACCCACAAATGTTTATGGCATGATAAATCAGTTCATCTTTAAGCTGTCACAAGACTCTATTTTAATTTTGGGGCAACAGACTAAAAGAGCAATACTAAACAGATCTACTGGCAAGTGTCCCATAATGTTCAGTAGGGCTTACTTCCAGGAAAGTGCCCTCAGGTTTGCACCCTGATAGCCTACCCTCCTCCGGCTTCCAAATTGGTAACCTCTCTGAGCACTTTATCATTGTTAACTATGCCTGATTTTATTCTGTTTTTAATATTTTATGTGGCACATGTTGCCCTTATTTGTAAGCCGCCCTGAGCCCGCTCATGGGGAGGGCAGGATATAAGTGTAACAATAAATAAATAAATAAAAGCTATGTTTGCTAATTATTGACTGAATTTGTTCACAGAGTAAGATACCCATTTAGTATAAATTTATCCTGGCCTTCCTACAAGGAGCTCAAAGCACCCAACATGGTTCTCTTGTTTCTCATTTTAACCACACAATTATGCCGCTTAGTCGGTTAGACTGAGAGAATATTATTAGCTCAGAGATGATACCCAGTGAGCTTCACAGCCGGGGGGGGGGGGGTGGGGGGGGGGGATTTGCATCCAGGCCTCCCAGATCCTCGTCAGCCACCCTGCACCACACTGTCACTCATCTGATTAACATATTCCTTATATGTTGCATGGCTGAAGACGATTCTGCTAAGAAAACCTGAAAATTGTAGAGGATATGTGTTTGTTTTTAATGCAGGCCTTCGTCTTTAGCTATGTAGGTTGCTAAATAAGCACTTCCAAAAATATTATGGCATTTCAGGTGAGTTACACAGGATTTGGTGACCACAGCTTTCCTGGCATTGTGGAGTTTACATTGGCAGAATATAGGAGTCTCCAACCAGTTAAAATATCTTTCAGCAACTGTTTCTCGGGATGCAGCTCTGCCATGCACACATGGTCTTGGGCAGCTACTGTGGCATTATAAAAAGAGCTGTCGTCTTTCTCTGCCGTTTCTCCCCCCCCCCCTCCTACCACTGCCTCTGCGGTATGTAAAAATATCTTACTTTAAAAGATGGGGGGAGGCAAAATAATATTTCCAGAAAGAAGAAAACCAGTCAATTATTCTTTAAGAAAAGGTCATTCAAATATGAGAGAGGGGGCATGGATTAGAAGTGGAGTATGCACTTTGCATACACAACGGCACTGGTTCAGTCTTCAGCTAGTTAAAGGGTTTCAGAAGAAAGTGGTGGGAAAGACCCTTCTGTGACTGAGACCCTGGAGAGTTCTTTTTCCTGCTAAGAGAATCGAACATTCTGAGCTAGACAGACCAGTGATCAGACTTCATATAAAGAAACTTTCTATACAATATGCTAGAGTATTTAAGGCCAATCCATTCTCCTGGTCTAATTCCCTTGAAGCAGCTGTTAAGTCTCTTATAGCAGCCTGAACTTCACTGTAATGTCCTGGAACAAGCCCTACTTAACTGAAATAATAACACTTCACTTGAGGAGACTTCACATCACTTAGGACGTTTTAAAACATACAAGCATAATGGAAGACGTCTTGCTTCCAATGTTTACGTGCTTGCACAGCGCAGTCGTTATGAAAGTCGGCCAGTGACACCCAGGATTGTTCTAGGATGTCAAATATTGGGGGGGGGGTTTTCAGCATACTCACCTGTTCAAATATGGCTTGCCTTGCCAGGGTACAATAGTGTCAGGTTCAAAAATGAAACCTGTTCATAAAGTGAGGAAGAGAGGACAAAGCACAGAAGTGTAGGTGTTTAATGAGGTCAGCAGCAATATCATTTGAAATCTGATTGGTACTCACCTGCCTGTAAAAAGAGCAGCATCACCAGCCAGGGCTCCATGGTGAGGTCAACTCAGTGTGATGCCCACCCTCTTTCTTGCACACGCATAGCCTGGCTCTCTACGTTCGCCCTGTTGTTCTGCTGTAAAACTGAGCCACAGGAGTGGGTGTTTATAAACAATCTTTCTAGGCCTGCTATTCCACAGTCTGCCCTCAGAGCTAAATATATGTCTCTATGGCTAAAGGTGAGACACTTCTTCTTTCTGCGCTCCAAACACTTACTATTCAGAGCCCAAGGAAGTCCTTTAATTCTCTAAAGACGCTTCGTCCTGCCAGTGGGGCTCAGAGTGCCTCTATTTGCATGTCGTCTTTTTGGGAGGGGCTGCTTGAGGGGAATTAGACTGGCACGGTCTCTTGGACAGGTTTAGATAGCAAAGCCACTGAGCTGGAGCTCCTTTCCTAAGCTGTTTCTGTAGAGTCCCCAGATGACCCCTCCAAGCAGTTTCACTGCTGAAGTTTAAGATCCATATGTTATAGTCTAACGTCTATAAACTGGGTCACTTTTGAGTAGATAGGCACTCTTTAAAAACTTCCAACGTTCAAATGATAAACTCCTTCCTCTAAATTACAGAAATGGCTCAAACTGGTTAGGGAGGGGGGTCCTCACTTCCTTAAGAGCACATTATGAATAGTAATAATTTTGAATGAAACATTTATTTATTAAAACACTTATATCCTATCTTGTAATTCAATTTTAAATTAAAAACACACAGAATACAGCAAAACCCCATTAACGCCTTCCCCAAGAAAATGCCTGCAGTTCAAACAGCTTAATGTGGATTAAAACAAACAAACAAAAGTGTGCCCTAATCCAATAAAGGAAGATCTATGTGCAAACTGTTGAATTGGGAAATGTACACAAAAATCAGATGTAGACATATTTTCACATTCCAATGTGCATCCAGAAGCAAATTACCAAATGCATTCTTTGTAAAGTTAAAATTATATCTGTTGGGATATTTGGCTAATATAGCAGAGTTTTGCCCAGTAACGGAAACGTGATACTGATTGCTGTAAATAAATCTCCCAAGAAGTATATTGAAAAAAGATAAACTTACATTTTTTCAAGTAGATGCAGTTCACATTCAGGTTGCAGTCAAAAGAAGAGGAAAAAACCTAATCTAAAAAGTACTTTCCCTATCACAAATGGCAAGCTAATCCAGCATCATGTGTATGGGAGTATGAGGGCATTGTATCTACAGGAGAGACCTGCAGAGTCATGTGTCTCCTTGGAAGACCATATGAAGAAGTGAGAGGGCAGAGAGAGAGAGAGAGAAAGAAAGAGAGAGGGAGGGAGAGGGGAGGGGTCAGAGGCAGCTCCCAGGCATCCATTCAAGGAGATAATAGCTAGTGCCCCCCAATGTCCAGGCATGCTCAGTTGCTCACTCCAGCAATATCAAGGGGACAGAGCGGGCACAGAGAATAGATCTAGGGTATAATCTGCAACAGCCAATTGGAAACTCCAAGTTCAGTACCATTTGTCGAAGATAGGCAAAGTGGGCATTTCCTGTTTGTAAATACCTAGAGACATCTGGCTGGTGCAGGTGAAAGGAGAATGCAAGATTAGATGGATTTTTGGTCTAACTAGCAAGGCACTTTTAATGTTCTTTTTATATCATGTGGTTGGGTGATGCACATCCCAACATTCCCTCTGGCAATGGAGATATGACCTTACCAGGCTGTTATAAAGCTTGTAGCAAGATAGTATATGTGTTCTCTGAATACTAATGTACTGTTCAAATGCCAAGTATTGTTATGAGGACCTTCAAGTGCAAGCAGAATAACAAAGGTCCTGGCAAACTCTTTCTACTCTTGCTCGATCCTGAAATGCTCCTTCTCAGAGTAATTGTGATCAGAAAACCAAAACCAACACTAAAAATTCTAGAAACTTTGAATACGGAGGAAAAAAAATGGCAATTTTTCTCCCTAAGGATGGGGGAGAGAAATGTTAGATGAAAATGGAAATATTTACATATACTACACTTGATCAGACCTTTTGATTCAGAATTAAATACATAAAATAAACCTATCTGAACCTTACCTTTGGGCCTTGAAAGAAACTCATGTTTGAGGAGAAGGAGTTGGCAGTATATGAATGCCATGGAATGGAGATCACAGTACATCAAAGACTGGTTTCATAAAGTCCAAGATGGTTTCACCTAGAAACTGGCAAAATAAGAAGACACTTTCTGTGAGACTCTTGCAGACTGGGCGCAACACTTCCATCTGTATTTACACACAGGTTGTTTGTTTGTTTTTGCTTACGGATAGGGCAGTGCCAGCCGATGGCAAGAAAGACATTGAGTAGAAAGGAAGTCGACAGAGCCAACTGGGCCACAGGAATACAAGATGAAAACAATAACAACCACCCAAGAAATGCATGAGACTCTTGCAGACTGGGCTCAACACTTCCATTTGTATTTACACACAGGTTGTTTGTTTTTGCTTACGGATAGGGCAGTGCCAGGCCAGCTGATGGCAAGAAAGACACTGAGTAGAAAGGAAGTCAACAGAGCCAACTGGGCCACAGGAATACAAGATGAAAACAATAACAACCACCCAAGAAATGCACACATAGAGAAAGCAAACTGGGTGAGAAGGGAACAATGAAAAACATTGCTAAAAAGTTAAAAAAAACCCACAGATGTCAAAAAGAAGCAGAAAGGGGGAAGAAGAAAGGCTTATCAGTAAAAACACAGAACATGAGGCAAAAAGAGAAAGACACAAAGTGAAGGAAAAGAAACAAGAAAAGCAGGAGCAGATTGGTCACTTACTGTGAAAAATCCTGATGGACTGCTGCCCGGAGCCCAGCCCACCTCCACAGAAGAGGCAGCAAGAACACTTGGCTTCAACCTGTGAGAAGGAGAATAGACACAGCAGCACTCAGCTTCATCCTGCCACCCCAGGAGAGGTGTGACCAGTGAGGAGGAGCATGGTATCACCTCCTTTCTCTTCACTTGGCTTTGCAGTCCTCCATCAGGTGAGGGGGATGTGGTTATGGGAGAAGAAGGTGTGGCACTTTTCCAGGACTGTAACAACCTCCCAGTCTGTTCTTGAAGAAAAGTCAGTATAGGCCCACTACTACTTACTGTTTTCCTCTTCTTCAAAGAACTGCCTTGAAACCACTGGAAGCAAGTGAGTGGTTGCTTAGCAACGTCTATATGCATTCTCCCTCCCATTGCCCTCCAGAACTATTCTTGCAAACAGACTAAGTTCAGAGGTCATCTTGTCAACACCAAATCAGAAACTGTGGAAACTACAGTGGTATAAAAGGTTTTGTTGTGTTACAAATACTGTATCTTTACTGAATAATATCTGGACAGTTAATTTGGAACCAGACATTGGATTTAACAAAGCTACTAGGCGTGTTTTGTATAATTCTACAGTCCCATCCTGTTTATACTTGATTTTGAATACCTATTTGCATCCAACAGGCTTTCTGCCTGGAGGTAACTTTGTAAGAGTCCATGCTTCTTTCTCATATATGGATAGTATTTCCTGTTCCATTGCTTCAATCCATATGTCTCTTTCATTCGCAGGCAGGTTGCATACTTCTTTCCAGTCCTTAGGTTCTTTTGCAGATTGTACAGTTTCACAAAATCCATATTTCTTTGGTAGTTGTCCTTTAGTGCTTCTTTCTGATCATCTCACACTGGTTATGAGTTCTGTCGTGGGTCCTGCTGCCTCCTCTGGTGCGGTTCCCCAGTGGTTACTACAGGTAACCATGCAACCAACTCTTCAGGAGTAGTGAACTCTTTGGATCAGTTGCATTGGAAGCACATGGCAAATTGCTTTAATCTACATATACAACATTTCGTTCCCCAACTGGAGAAGCCTAGAAATGCCAAGCAAAGAAGAATTTATCAATAAAACACTAGAAGCAGTAGAAATGGGAAAGCTCACTTTATTCTTAAAAGACCACTCAGAAAAGATCTTTGAAAATATATGGGCAAGACTTTACTTATGGTATGAGAACTATATATTAAGCAAGACATGACAAGACTAGGAGAAATAACATCCAGAAGAGGCTACAAGCCATATTAACAATTATATATGAATAATTTGTTTGCAAAATTTGTGTATAAAACTTTTAAGGCTTTAAGTTGATAATGACATACAAATGGCAACTGAATTTATACTTATCTACAATGTACCCCCTATTGTTCTATGTCTATATGTTCCTATAGTAATGTAGGTTCTTCCTTTCTTCTTGACCCCTAGAAGGAAATCACCTGAATGCATTAACCAATTATTGTTAGTAAATAGGCTTCAGTTTTGGCTTTCTTTCCATTGGCTTTCTGCCAGATTCCCTTCCAGGTCAGTCAAAACAACAGCACGGAAGGTAAAGCACATTAACCCCATAATGATTAAATTTTAGACCTTGCAACACACATATTTCCAACAAAAATATCCAGGAATTTCCCAATCTGGAGCTGGCAACCCTAGCCAAGCCTGTCTCCAATGAGTCCTCCCACAAAGGCCAGAACAGCCCTGGAAAGAATCCTGCCCCCTCTCCTTGCCTTTCACTCACTGAAACTCAGCTGGAATGCCGTGGTTGCCTAGTAACTGCCACTGAGGGAATCTGTGATGTGGGTGTGTATCTTTAAGTGGTTGGCTTTCCATTCTATGTGATGTATTTAACTTGTTAGAATGCTGAGGGTCAGCCAACTTTCAGGTGTGTGATGTTGTTCTTTGCTCTCCGCTCTTGGTGTTGTCTTCTACGGGATAAAAGCTGTTTCATAGACAACAACTGAGTGTTGTTGGTCATCAGGCGAGGCATATCGCTGCAGAACATTACACAGTGTCAAAGTGTTTGTCAAAACTACAGGCATTTCTTTTATCACTTTGGAGTTTTTAACCACCACCACCCTGGTATTTTTTTATTTCACATTTTTTGACACACCTGCGGTGTTTTTCAGGTTTGCAGAAAAATCTTGTCTTGCCTGTTATCCAATAATCAGATTTAAGTATCTCAGATTTGTCTGACTTCACTGTTATTATAAAAGGCTTACCACTGTCTGGT